TTCTAAAAAGCAAAACCATAAATTCACTTTATTATTTTTTGTTATAGAAACGTTTTACCTTCTGTGGAACCAGGGTATTTAGAAAAATTGGTACCCAAAGACACTCCTGAACTAGGAGAGGACTGGAAGTCTATTATGACAGATATAGAAAGAGTTATAATGCCGGGAATAACTCACTGGAATTCTCCTCATTTTCATGCATATTATCCCACAGCTTGCAGCTTTCCCAGCATAGTTGGGGAAATTCTCAGCGCTGGGCTTTCCTCAATCGGATTTAGTTGGGTAGGTACACAAAACTGTTTCTTATTATCAAATATTTGTAAAAGAGATATCATTGTTTCTTCAGATCGCAAAATAATTGTGTTGTAAACCATCGAACAAAATTTCTTCTGGCAATCAAAATTTTTGAATTAGATTATCTTTCTATATGTAGATAAGCAGTCCTGCCTGCACAGAACTCGAAGTTGTTATGATGAATTGGCTTGGAAATTTACTGGGACTACCAGAGACATTCCTAAATTCATCCAGCGGACCCGGTGGAGGTACAATACAAGGCTCAGCCAGTGAAGCAACGTTAGTAGGTCTGCTATCAGCGAGGGAAAAAACGGTCAAAGAATTGAGGGAAAATGATCCTTCCTTAAGCGAATCAGACATCAGAGGTCGCCTGGTAGCATATACCAGCGATCAAGCTAATTCGTCTGTGGAAAAAGCCGGGTTACTAGGAGCAGTTCCAATGAAACACGTGCCTGCAGATGAAAATGGATGTCTTCGAGGAGAAGCGCTTCAAAAAGCTATAGATGAAGATAAGAGAAACAATCGCATTCCGTTCTATGTTGTGGCAACTTTGGGAAGCACTGGCACTTGCGCTTTTGATAAATTAGAAGAAATTGGACCAATTTGTAAGAAAGAAGGTGTGTGGCTTCATATCGATGCTGCGTACGCAGGAACTGCCTTTGTGTGTCCAGAATATCGACCTTTAATGAAAGGTGTCCATTATGCCGATTCCTTCAACTACAATCCACACAAATGGATGCTGGTGAATTTCGATTGCTCGGCCATGTGGTTCCAGAACGTGAAGCATTTGGTGGAATCTTTCAATGTCGACAGAATTTATTTGAAGCACCAACACGAAGGACATGCACCAGATTATCGGCATTGGCAAATCGCCCTTGGAAGGAGGTTCAGGTCTTTGAAGTTATGGTTCACATTACGTATTTATGGCGTGGAAGGTATCAGAAACCATGTAAGGTCCCAGATTGCTTTAGCAAAATATTTTGAAGAATTAGTTTCCGGCGATTCGCGCTTTGAGGTGCTCACTTCCAACTTAGGTTTGGTCTGCTTTCGATTAAAGGGGGATGATAAGTTGACCAAAGATTTGCTTCAAAAGATTACAGAAAAAAAGAAGCTGTACTTGATTTCGTGTTATTACCGGAACAAATTTGTTATTCGCTTTGTAATATGCAGTCGATTAACAAACTCCTCGGACGTTGAGTTTGCTTGGAAAGAAATATCTGGTATTGCCAACGAAATAATACCAAGAAAATTTTTTGAGAACGTAAAAATGCCATCCATTAGTTCTATTGCCGATTCTTGCAAAAACAACGGAATTGTGGGTTTGAACGACGCGTTTAGTAAGGGTGCAGCATAGTAAAAGTTGTTTTTATTTTTTCCCCGTAAAGTTTCAATACAAATTTTCATTCAAACTATTTCTTTTCAAGTCTGAAGTAAGAAGAAAATGTATTATTAATCTTTTAATCGGGTAAAAACGGTACTAATCAAATATTTAAAAGCTGTTTTTTTTTCTTCAAAAGATTAAAAGAATTTCTGACTGTCTTACACCTAAAAAAAAATAGGTAAATAGCTTTGAGATAACATTAAAAGATTCTATTAATTTGTTCATACTTAACATTGCTCTCTACCTAATGTTTTAAGATATCATGATTACATGTGTTGCACTTTTACATAAAGTATCTCAAAGTCATACTCTGCAGTTACCAAGATATCTAAGAGAATATTGTCGCTCTTAATATACTTTTAATCTAATTTTTTAGAATTTATAAAGGAATCACTTTATCAATTAATAGAACATAAAAATTACATTACAAACCATTGTTTAATTGAAGGCAACTGTAGTTATGGCAAGATATTGTAATCGAATTATAATAACACGTATAATGGCAGAGGCGGTGAGATAACTGAATTGATTAATTAAATGTTAATTAGATTTAAAACAAATACATAATTAGATTATCTTCCCAAATGTTATATAAAAACTATCGATGCTAATAGATATTGGGGTCTTAATATTGGGTAACAAATATTAATACTTCAGGTTATATATAAAGTACTATTTAGTAATACTCTTCTTTATATTAGATTTAATCAGTTTTAATAAATTTTCAAGTTGTTTTTTAAGAAATCCTTATTCTTTTACACTATGTTGTTATTAAATAAAACAATTTATCGTTTTAAATTTTGTTTAATTAATTTTATTTGAAGATTACTTATGAAAAAAGATGGAGAAGATAGAAAATACTCACTCTAAATTAATATGAGATACTTTACCAGATGTATTTCTATATATTTAATTTACATACAAATCAGATTTTATTATAACAAAAGTATAGACGAATTAAAACAGAAGCTAATGTAATAAATATACACCTAATAATATAATCGACAATATGCTAATAATTGCAAATATTAACCAATAATTTGATAATAATCGAAAATGTT